TTCATTCTTTTGCATGTATCCGTCCAGTTTTCCTGATATTGACTAGACTATCTTTACCTCATTGTATATTCTTACCTCCTTTGTCATAGATTATTTGACCACATAAGCATGGGTTTATTTCTGGACTCTCTTTTTGTTCCATTAATCTGTTTGTTTGTGTTATATCAGTACCATGCTGTTTGAATTACTATAGCCTTGTAGTATATATATCAGGTAGCTTTGATCTTTCTCAAGATTGCTGTGGCTATTTAAATTATTTTGGTTCCATATAAATTTTAGGATTATTTGTTCTGCTGTGAAAAATACCATTGGTATTTTTATAAGAATTGCATTGCATCTATAGATTCCTTTGGATAGTATGGACATGTTAACAATGTTAATTCTTTTTACCCCTGAGCATGGTATATGCTTTTATTTATTTGCATCTTCAATTTCTTTCTTCAGTGTCTTACAATTTTTCAAGTACAGGTCTTTTACCTTCTTGGTTAAATTTATTCCTAGGTATGTTTTTATGCAATTGAAAATGGGATTGTTTACTTAATTTCTTATTCTGATAGTTTGTTATTGGTGTATAAAACTGCAACCAATTTCTGAATATTTTGTATCCTACTTTATTCTAAGAGTTTTGGTGGAGTCTTATAGGGTTCTCTATATATGATATCATGTCATCTGTAAATAATGACAGTTTTACTTCTCCCTTTCCAAGTGAATGCCTTTTCTTTTTCTTGTCCGATTGCTGTGGCTTGAACTGCCAGTACTATTGAATGGAAGTGGTGAAAGTGAACACCCATCTCTTACTACTGATCTTAAGGAAAACATTTGTAGCCTTTCACTGTTGCGTATAATGTCACCTGTGGGTTTGTCATATATGGCCTTTATTATGTTGAGGCATGTTTTCTCTATTACCACTTTGCTGAGAGTTTTTATCATAAATGGATGCCGTATTTTGTCAAATACTCTTTAAGCATCTACTAATACTACTATCTGATTTTTATTCTTCATTTTGTTTAAATGGTATATCATGTTAATTAATTTGTAGATATTGAAGCAACCGTGTATCCCAGGAATAAATGCTACTTGATCATGGTGTATATATATTTTTTAATATATTAGTGGATCCTATTTGCTAATATTTTATTGAGAGTTTTACATCTATGTTCATTAGGAATATCAGCCTATAATTTTCTTTTTTTGTAATGTCTTTGTTGGAATCAGGGTAATGCTGGCCCTTCATAAAATGAGCTTGAGAGCCTTCTCTCCTCATGAAATTTTTGGAATGGTTTGAGAGGGATAGGTGTTAATTCTTCTTTGAATATTTGTTAAAATACACCTGTGAGGCCATCTGGCCCTGGACTCTTTACTTTGTTGTAAGTTTTTTATTACTGATTCTATTTTGTTATTAGTTATCAGTCTGTTCAGTTTTTCTGTTTCTTCTTGACTCAGTCTTGGAAGATTATATGTTTCTAGGTATTTATCCATTTCTTTCCAGTTGTCCAATTTGTTAGCATATAACTGTTCATAATGTTTATTTATAATCTATTGTACTTCTGTGGTGTCAATTGTCATTTGTCCTCTTTCACTTATGATTTTATTTATTTGGGCCCTTTCTCTTTTTCTCTTTAGGAGTTAATTAAAGGTTTATTATTTGTTTATCTTTTCTAAGAACCAAGATCTTGGTTTTATTGATCATTTGTATTGGTTTTTTAGACAGTTTTTTTTTTTTTATTTCCACTCTTATCTTTATTATTTCCTTTTTCTACTCCTATAGGCTGTGTTTGTTGTTCCTTTTCTAGTTCCTTTAGATATAAGATTAGATTGTTATTTGAGATTTTTCTCATTTTTGAGGTAGGCCTATATTGCTATAAATTTTCTTCTAAAGCTGCTTTGGCTGTGTCCCATAAATTTTGAGTTGTGTTTTTATTTTCATTTGTCTCAAGGAATCTTTTTAATTCTTCCTTCATCTCATTGTTAACTCATGTAATGTCAGTAGTATGTTTTTTAGCCTCAATGTGTATGTTTATCATTTATCTTTTTGTAATTGATTTCTAGTTTTATACCATTGGGATAAGAGAAGATGCATGATATGATTTCAGTCTTCTTAAATTTATTGAGGCTTGTTTTGTGGTTTAACATGTGGTCTTTCATGGAAAATGTTCCATGTTTACTTGAAAAGAATGTATATACTGCTGCTTTGGGATGAAAAGTTCTAGGAATATCAATTATATATATATCTGGTCTATCATTTAAGGCTGCTGTTTCCTTGTTTATTTCCTGTCTGGATGATCTATCCATTGATGTCAGTGGGTTGTTAAAGTCTCCTACTATGATTGTATTACAGTCAATCTCTTTTTCTGTTCATCAGTATTTGTTGTATATATTTAGGTGCACCTACATAAGGTGCTTTAGTGTTTACAAGGGTTATATCCTCTTTTGGGATTGATCTCTTTATCAATATTTAATGTCCTTCTTTGTCTCTTGTTATAGCCTTGTTTTCGTGTCTATTTTGTCTGATATAAGTATTGCTAACCCAGCTTTTTTTTTTTTTTTTTTTTTTTTCCATTTTCTTGATATATCTTTTTCCCTCCCTTTATTTTCAGTCTGTGTGTCTTTCGATCTGAAGTGGGTTTCTTATTGACAGCATATGTTTGGGTCTTGTTTTCTTATCCATTCAGGCACCCTATGTCTTTTAATTGAAGTATTTAATGTATTTACTTTTAAAGTAATCATTGATAGGTATGTAGTTATTGCCATTTTATAATTCAGTATATCATCTTCTCATCCTCCTCCTTTGGTTCCTCCATTTCTCCTTCCTGTTTTTCTCACTTCCTTCCTCCTTTAACATTTCTTGTGATACTGGTTTGATGGTGATGAACTCCTTTAGTATTTTCTTGTCTGGGAATTTCTTTATCTCTCCTATTCTAAATCATAGCTTTGCTTGCTAGAGTAATTTTGCTTGTAGGTCCTTGCTTTTCATTACTTTTAATATTTTATGCCTATTTCTTCTGGTCTGCAAATTTTCTGTTCAGCAATCAGCAGACACTCTTCCGGGGATTCCCTTTTACATAACTACTTTTGCTGCTTTTAAGATTTTCTTTTGGCCTTTAGCCTTTGGCAATTTAATTACAATGTGTTTTGCTGTGAGCCTCTTTGGGTTCATCTTGCTTAGGACTCTATGCTTCCTGGACTTGTATGTCTGTTTCCTTTGCCTTGCTCTCCTCTTCTGGTACTCCTGTGCTACAAATGTCATTGCACTTGATGTTGTCCCAGAGTTCCCTTAAACTATCCTCATTTTATTCTTTTTTGTTTTTTTCTATTCTGATTGGATGTTTTTCACTACTTTGTCTTCCAAATTGCTAATTTGAACTTCTGCTTTATCTGATCTGCTGTATTTTCTATCTAATGTATTCTTCATTTCTGACTGGATCTTTTATATGGTTTTTATCTCTTTGTGTAAGTTCTCACTAAATTAATCTATTCTTACCCTAATTTAATTAATCATCTTTTTATAACCAGTGTTTTGAATTCTGTATCTGTTAGATTGCTTTTCTCCATTTGTTTAGTTCTTCTTGAGATTTGTCTTATTTTCATTTTGGACATGTTTCTTTGTCTCCCCATTTGGCTGCCTTCGTGTGTTTGCTTCTACATAATAGGTAGATGTGCTGTGTCTTCCAGTGTTGGCAGGGTAGCCTTATGTGGTAGGTGTCCTGTGGGGCCCAGTGCACCTGAGTTGGGTGCTCTAGGAATGTACCTTATATTTGAGCACATCAGTGATTGGGATTGGCCCTTAGCCTGACTGGCTATGAAGACTGGCCCTGACTACAGCTATAGTGCAAGGTTGACCTCTTAGAGTGGCATTTGCTGTAGCAGGACTCTGGTGCCTGCTGAGTCCACCCTTTTGTTGCATCAGTTTTTGGAGAGAATTGAGGTGGTGTGGTCTAAAGCCAGCCACTGAGTGTGTTGGTTCTGGCGCCTCTTCGGAGGGGCTCAGACATAGTCCCAGGTAAGCCACCCCCTGTGCTTGACCTAGAGCCACCTGGTAGGAGCTACAGAGTTATCAGAGGTTGGTAGCTGCCTGTGCAAGACTTGGGAGAGGCCACGTTATAAACTAAGGCTGACTGCCACTAGTGCCAGGCTGGGAGCAGCTTAGCTTAGGTGCAGGGTAGGCCGAGGCCAGCCACTGCTTACTTGGAGTTTTGGACCTTTCAGATATTTTTTAGGGAAATCCACAGCACTGTCCAAGACTGGCAACATGTGAGGAATGCCTACTATAAGGGTCCAAGCCTGTGTACAAGTTAGGTGGTATGGGTTCTCAGGGAATCCCTAGGGTGAGGTGAGTTGTATGGAGACTCAGATTTGGTGCTTGCCTGTATCTGCATACTAAGTAAGGAAGGGCTCAGCAAAGGAACAGTGGCCTCTGCCAGCACTTCTGTCTGGGAGAAAACAACCCCTCCAGTCCTTGCCCTGCAGCCAGACAATTCAGTTTCTCCCCACATGTCCCTGGCACTTTGAGCTGCTACCCCAGTGCTGGAACTCAGAGAGTGAGTCTGTGTAAGTCCATGTGTGGGCTCTTTAAGAGGAACCCCTGGGATTCCAGCAACCTCCATATCACTCAGCCACAATCTGTGCTGGTTTTCACAGCCAGAAGTTACGGGACTTCTCTTCCCAGCACTGGAGACCTGGGCTGGGGTGCCAGGTATGGGGCTGGGACCCCTCGATCCACAGTGGGGGCCTCTGATGCTGAGATATTTCTCCTGATTCTTCACCACATATGGGTATGGGACCTGCCTATTCTGCATCTTCCCCTCCTACCAGGCTTTACATGGATTCTTCCTTATATCCTTAGTTATAGGATTTCTGTTCAGCTAGTCTTGATGTGGTTCTCAATTATGGTTGTTCTATAATTTAGTTGAATTTTGATATGATGTAGAAAGAGGCAAGCACGATGTTTATAATATTCTGCCATCTTGACCAGAACTGTTTTTGTTACTCTTGATTCACAGAAAGAAACAGAGGTTAAGGAACGGTCTGTTTTTGACATCCCTATATTTACAGAGGAATTCCTGAACCACAGCAAAGGTGATTACTAAAGTATCATTCTGTATTTCTCAGGTCTATGAGAGGGAATTTTGTTCTCGGAAAAAATTCATTGCTCAAAAGCAATGATAGTGGTCTTCCAGATCCTAGGACTGGTCTGGAAGAAGAAAATTGCTTGTAATTTATTCTCTAGTAAAAGTAGCTACTCAAGATTAGTGAAGGAAAGCTAGGCCAATGTTGTCAAAACTGCTTTAGTCTCTTGACCAAAGCAAATAAATGTACATCACTAATAAGGTGCTTTCGAACTGATACCCTGGACCATTTGTACAAATGAAAGCTTACATGGGTGTCCCAAATATAAAATAAGTAAGACCAAAATTGACCTAATTGTGGTAAAGATGGGAACCCAAAATTTTGCTTGCCCATTGTCCCAGTGTTCCCCTATGAAACCCTTCAGGCTTCTTACTGTATAGTTTTAAAAAACAAACCAACAAAAATACAGGGAATTGCAACTGTTCCTTGCAAATTTATTTATAGAATATGACCAATTTTAAGATTAAATTAGCTCTGGGGCGCCAGGCATTTCATTGCTGAAACTGCTATTTGAAAGGCCATAATGAGAATAGGGAGATGAGGTGGACTAGCTGATTAGAGAAAGCTAAGCAGAACATCGTTGGAAAAGTCATTGGGACTCTGCATAGACTCCTAGTGGTACATATTTTCTGTGTATTGGGGGCGGGGCTTGTCCTCAGCTCGGGAGGCAGAGCTTCGCCAGCTTCGCAAATCCAATATGGAGTTTGAAGAGAGGAATGCAGCCCTGCAGAAACATGTGGAGAGCATGCGCACAGCAGTGGAGAAGTTGGAGGTGGATGTGATTCAGGAGCGGAGCCGTAACACTGTCTTACAGCAGCACCTAGAGACCCTGCGGCAAGTGTTGACCAGCAGCTTTGCCAGCATGCCCTTGCCTGGTAAGGCCATCCTTACCTAAGCACTTTAGAAAGCAGGAGGTGCTGTTTATATTGGTATTGGTGTATTGAAGCTGAAGTCTCCCCCAAAGAGGAAAATAAATAAAATAAGGGGTTTTTCCCCCCTCAGGATTTTTGTAGGTCATGTAATAAAATCTCAGTACTGGTTTCAATTACCCAAAATCTCAGATTCTCAGGTCATTTACATTTTTTTCCAATTATATTTGAAAATAATTTACTTTCTATTAGGCTTAATTTTATATTCAAACAATGGAAACTGAGTAATAAGTCCTGATTTAGAGCACTTTTTGTCTGTATATTTGCTTGCTTTATAATGCTCTTTTAATGAGAAGGAAGAAAACAATCACTAATATTTCTTATATATTTTTTCATTTTGAGTTAAGTACAGAAGAAAACTGGGAGAGTCTCTAACCTTTTGTTGTATGTAGCTAATCATACATACTATACAGCAATTATATACCCATCTATTTATTTAGAGTATATAGATTTCATCCATTAGGCCAAAAAAGTCTCTTCTCTGACATTAAAATTTATTTTATAGAGACCACATTAGAGGCATAATTTCTTTTGCTGTGGATTCACTTAACTATGTTATAGTCAAACCAAATGGGGAGGATTTTCTTACTTTTTCTTCTTATCTCACTTCAGGAAGTGGAGAGACACCTACATTGGATACCATTGACTCATATATGAACAGACTGCACAGTATTATTTTAGCTAATCCCCAAGACAATGAAAACTTCATAGCTACAGTTCGAGAAGTTGTGAACAGGCTTGATCGTTAAGGAATGGTGAGTGCTCACTGATATGATATTTATATGCCAGCACAACTTCAAAAATAAGATGGCCTTAAACTTTATCAATACTACTAAAACCCTGGAATTACATTGAATAAATGAGTTGGAGACCTCATTTAGATTCCTATTGCATAGTGTCTAAATGTAGTAAATAATGTTACAAAACAGTTTTCCTCGTGTATGCCTCAGCATGGTTTAATAGAAAGAACATGATTTTTGTAGTTGGACCTTGGTTATAGCTTTGTCACTCATTAGCTAAATTATCAGATACTAGCTTCCCAAAGAGTTTTGAAGAGTGATTGAGAAACTTTGAGGAAAACAGCAATTAAATACAAGCACAAAATAAATATCACTTAATTTTTAAGTTTCATTTTCCCTGGAAAATATTAATGGTAATTTACATTAATAGTCAACAAGACATTGTATGTCTATAAACCAACATAAGTAAGAAGCTTTTTATTCACCATTGAATATCAAGAGTAACTGGTGTATGTTAATGTGGACTAACCTTACAGTGAAACAGGTAGTAGGCCTTGATTAAATGGATTAAAAATTAAACTCTCAATAAGCAAAAAAGTGAGGAGAGAGAAAATTAGCTTTTAAAAATATATTTAATAGTCCTAGCCAGGTGGCTCAGTTGGTTGGAGCATTGTCCCATACACCAGAAGCATGCAAGTTCAGTTCCCGTTCAGGGCACACACCTAAGTTGTGGGGTTCAATCCCCTGCACATACCAGAGGTAACTGATCAATGTTTCTCTCTCACATCAATGTTTCTTTCTCTCTCTCTCCCTCTCTCTCTTTTTCTCTCTCTCTCTTTCTCCCCCCCCCCCCCCTTCCTCTCTAAAATATCAATGAACTTATCCATGGGTGAGAATAAAAATATTATTTTTACAATAGGTTACTAGCACTATGTACAAAAGGTACATTTTCAGAAGAAATCTGCCCATGTAAACACTTTGGTACTAATGGTCAATCATTGGGTATCATTTTTTAAATAGAAGTTGTATTTGTTCACTCAAATTCCTAGAGATAGAGTACCCTTTGGTATGCCATCCCACAAAATTGGCAGCCCTTTATCGATTAAATTGTCCCATGCCTACAGACATTTGGACTGCTGAAATCCTAGTGTTGGGCCATATCATGTGGTGACCACATATAGATACTAAACAAGAGTGGGCAGCAGGGTATGCTCCTTAGAACGGCCAGTCATGAGTTTGAATCTTGTATTTATTTGTCCTGTAGGTATGTGAGCACACTCATATTCTAGGATGGTTTAGACCTTGAGCAATATATATACAAATAAATAAAAACCCATGATTCTTTATCTAATTAAGCAACATCTACTAGCAGAGACAGAAGCAACAGTATTTATCCTTCTTACCTATGCCCTTGGATGATAACCATACAAGGCAACTCATTATGCCTTAGCCTTAGCCATGCTGATGGAGAAAGGATTATTGTTTTTCTAGTGAGTAGTCAGATGGAAGATACTATACTTAGAATAGATGGCTGTACTCCCTGCAGAATAAAGCACTAGCATTACTAGTGTTTTTTAATGAAGGGGAACAGCTTATAAATCTAGGCTTGGGAATTAGAGGAGCTCATTCATCATCCTTCTCATTTTCACACAGTTTTCTTGAAGGCTTGAAAAGATAGAGCTAGGAGAAATAGTGTGGCAGATTGTGAAAGAACACAAACAACTGATAACGTGGTGTGACCTGACGTAGGTCAAGGGCAGTTATTGCAAGCTTTGAGCCAAAAGTGGTTTTCCGTTTTGAGCATTTTTGCCATAAGATGGTCCTAATGCTTTACTAATCTTAGGGATATAAACTGTATAGTATCTGTTTTCTGAAGTGTCTTTTTTTTTTCTTCTTCTTTATTGATTTTAGAGAGAGAGGAAGGGAGAGGGAGAGAGAGATAGAAACATCGATGAGAGAACATTGATTGGCTGCCTCCTGCATGTCCCCCCACTGGGGATTTGGCCCACAACCTGGGCATGTACTCTGACCAGGAATCAGCCGGCGACCTCTTGGTGTGTGGATTAGCACTCAACCACTGAGCCACACCGGCCAGTCTCTGAAGTATCTTTTTTTAAAATATGTTTTTATTGATTTTTTTTTTTTAAGGGGGAGAGAGAAGGAAACAGCTGCCTCCCACATGCATACCAACCAGGGATTAAGACTACAACCTGGCAGCCTTTCAGTGCATTGGACAACACTCAACCACTGAGCCACATCGGCCAGGGCTGAAGTGTCTTTTGAAAACCTAGAATGTTACCATTATTCTTAATTTTAAACTACAAATATTTTGCCCTTGAAAAGTACCTGAAAATGTGTGTCATTTTATTACTATAGATTCTTACAATCTAGCCATACAATCATAACAGACCCCCAAAACTGTCAAATGAAATAGTTATAAAGACTAATTAACACTGGCTTGGCCTCATTATACAAATATGTACAGATAGCTAGGCCTGATGTCCTCAGCATTTGTGGTGCCACTATCAGGAGCCAGTAAGTAAAGGTATCTAATAGTCTTGTTTTAGAAGAGCATATTAGCACTAGAAGGGACCTATAGAAATTCTAATATTTTACATATGACGAAACTGAGTCCCAAAGAGGTGAAATCTCTTACCTGAAAATACTTGTGTAGCTCTGGCCGGTTTGGCTCAGTGGTTAGAGTGTCAGCCTGTGGACCAAAGAGTCATGGGTTTGATTCTGGCCAAGGGCATGTGCCTTGATTGCCGTTTGTCCTGAGCCTTAGTCAGGGTCGTGCAGGAGGCAACCAGTTAATGTGTCTCCCACATCGATGTTTCTGTCCGTCTCTCCCTCCCTCTTGCCCACTCTATCTGAAGATAAATGGAAAAATTTCCTTGGGTGAGGATTTAAAAAAAAAAAAACCTGTGTAGACGAGTGCAGAATCCAGGTCTAGAACATATATATCAAACTCTGGATCAGTGGAATTTCCAAAATATTGCTATAAAGAGGTGGGAATGAGTGCAAGGGGAAAGCACTAAAAATTTTTAGAATGAAAGTGTTAAGATAAATAAGAGGTAAATAGGAAAAAATTACAATCTCATAATTATAATGTCATAAAATGTTGATCGGCCAATTAAAAATTACTTTTATAGATTTACAGTGGAAGAATTACTCTACCTGGCATCTTTCTCTTTGACTAACTTGTAACCTAGAAAAAAAAATGGCTCTGGGAGGAAGCCTTGGGGATGATTTCATATTGAAAGGTGACTATATAAACTACCAAAATTTATATGTTGCTTTATTTCATTCGAACCAAATGATAAATATCTGGCTGTTTGAAGGTTGGAAAAAAAAACACACTTAAGTGATTTTATTTTTAGCAGTGTAACAAGATTTGTTGACCATATGCACATAATATATTTCTATACATGCAGAGATCCTTAGATTTATACTTGAAGAAAACGGATTTTGATTAACCATCTATTCTTTGGTCTAAAGTAGAATACTAATTTCCTATAATCAGATTTGTCCCTAATAGTTGCTTTTCTGTGTTCAGCTGAATGATTTTTCTATGTCCCCATTGTCTTCCTCCCTCCCTCCCATCCTCCCTTTCTCCCTTTCTCTCTCTCTTCCTCTCTCTCTCTCCCCCCTCCCCCACCCCCTCACAGGTCTTAGAGCTCCAAGATGTGAGGAATGAGAAGCCATCTGTGGAAAATTTGAACTGAGTACAGGCAGAGTACAGATAACCCTGCTTGTGAAGGAACTGTCAGCTGTGAGTTAAATGACTTCACCCCAGGAAGCCATATGAGAGAGCAGCAAAAATAACATGTTTATGCACTTCCTATGGAATCCTCTTTACAAAGCTTTGAAAGTGTGCAGCCACTCTCCCGAGTCTTCAGTTTTCTATCGTCTGCTTTTCTGTTAAAGTGGATCTGCATATATTCTGCTTTAATCTCTGCAACATAAAGGATGCTTTCATTGTTCTACTTCAGATTGGACCCTTTTATCAGTCACTTTTTTAATGCTTTTGGTGGTTATCTTTTTATTCCCTTCACCCCCACCAAGTTACAGATCTCCATTTTCTAACCTCTGGGCTTTGTTGCTCAGCAGGGTTCTGAAGGAGAGTTTGTCTTATTGGACAGGCCCAATCTTCTTCCCTCTTTATCCTGCTGAGACTCCAAAGAAAGGAGCTTCTTGTATTAACTATTCTGTGGAGGAATCTGTGTCCTAGCCCACACAGTATGCAGTGGGTACCAGCCCTCACTGCCAGCCCTCATGGAGGCTTCATGATTCTTACCCTGAGGAGAATACACTTTTCTTCCTCCTCAGCACTGCTTGCTGTTCTTTGAGCTTTGCTCCTGCACATACCCCGTATTCCAGTCCCAGCAAGGTTCTTCTGTTCCCATCTGTTGACAATGTCTTGTGGAGCATTTTGTGCTAAGGAAAAGATCATTGGTAAATAGAAGAGAACAGAAAAAGTAATTTTTCATTTGGTATTGAAAAAAACAACAAAGTTTATCATAAGTAAAAACTGACCCTGTCTGCTTTAGGTACACTGATTCATGGATGTGGATAGGCAGAGATGTCATCACAGTAGTCTCCTGAGCAAACAAGAAAGGACACAAAATTCCTGTGTCCTTTGTTTTCCTTCTGTAGCGATACTATGGAATCTATGTCAAAAGGACAGGCTTTTCTTCCTTTTCCAAACCCTTAGTAAGTGAATTTTATTTTAAACACAAAAAGGGAAGAAGGGTTTCTGATTCTCACCTAAGGGTTTGGTTTTGTCGTAATGCTCTACAGCATAAGACTGACAGTTGCAGCTCTGATCTTTGAAACCAAAGCCAGGTATGCTGAGCCCATTGTCCAGGCACCCCCCAACTAAAGCAAATGGAAGTGTGGCCTCCTCACAATATGCTCACTAGTCAGAGTGCAAACCAGAAACCCTCCTATCACATTGTTGCACCATCCTGTCTTCCCAGCATCTCCTTACTTGATTTCTTCAATAGCCCAAAGCTGGGGAAGGGTACAGCCTTTTTTAATGTATTATATGAGCACACATCAAATTTCCATGCACTGAAGCCCCATTTGGCAGTATTTTAGCATAAGAGCCCATTATTTTTTATTGCTTATTGCTATAAACCTAGCCAAGTCACCTGTTTTTTATTGTATATTCCTGTTCTGCTCTCACATGTCACTGCTGGTCTTGTCCCTTCTCTCAGACTCCTTGCTTGTTAAATCCAACCTAGAATACACTGTCTATAAGCAGATAGACATTCAAGCCAGTGCTGGAAATTGCCAGATACTTTCTGTTTTTTCTTTCTTCCTCCTGAATTTCTTTTGTTTCTCCCTTGGGTTACTTTTATGCAGCTTTGTTAGAGTGCCATTGACCAGGAAAGGCTATAACTTAGTCCAAAGATCATCATTCTCCTGACTCTAGATAGGACACCTGACATTGACTTGAAACATCTGTATATTCAGGAATGTATGAGGTCTTCAAAGAACCTACAGTCTAAAATCATCTTTATAAAATAAGCAGCCTGCTTTTGAAATGCTGGCTCTTCCAGCAGCTGCACACCTGATTCACTGGTGTCTGGGATTCAACTGCTACAATACCATCAGGTCCCAAAAAGCAAGTCTGTCTTGCCTCCTCTCTCCTCTTTGCCCAACCAGGAGGTGGCAAATGAGATTACAGGCTAACATGATACCTAATTCATGTTTTCCAATAATCTTATAGATATTACTGTACTTATGTTCTTCTCAAGAAATAAGTTGTACTTATGTTCTTCTCAAGAAATAAGTTGTTGCCTATTCAGTGTTACAAATGTTTTTTTATTAAAACACAAGGGGCAGCTGAGGAAAGTGAGACAAAGTGTTTTATTTCAAACAAAATTAAAATTTAGAAAACAATGTGTATATATGTTTGGAACTGTTGAAATGCCAAGTTTTCTGTACAAGTGTTTTTGTAATTAAACTTTTATATATATTTTTTTGTTTTTTAAGAAGTCAATATGCTTGCTTGACATCTGCATTATTAAAACTTTCATGTTGAATCCACCCTGTTCAATTTTACCTGCATTTTTTGTTTGTTTGTTTGTTTAACTAATCTTTATTGTTGAATGTATTACAGATGTCCCTCTTTTCCCCCCCTTGGCCTCATCCTCCCCAATCGTGCCGCCCTCCTGCTTTCCCCACACTATAGTCTGTGTCTATTGGTTATGCATATATGCATATCAGTTCTTTGGTTTCTCTCTTCCCATCCCACCTACCCCCTTCCATTTGAGGTTCATCAGTCTAATAACCGATTAGTACTTTCTAATCCCTTCATCTTTTCCCTATCTGACAACCAATGAAAAGTTCTCTGTATCTAAGAGTCTGTTTCTGTTCTGCTTGCTCATTTTGTTTGTAGATTCAGTTGTTGATAGATATGTACTTATTGCCATTTTATTGTTTATATTTTTTTATCTTCTTCTTCAAGAAGACACGTCAGCATTTCATATAATACTGGTTTGGTGTTGATGAATATTTTAGCTTTTTCTTGTCTGGAAAATTCTTTTTTTTTTTAATCCTCACCCGAGGATATTTTTTTCCATTTTTTGTACAGATAGAGTGGGAGGGAGAGAGAGGAAGGGAGAGAGAGAGAGAAACATCGACGTGAAGGGACACATCGAGTGGCTGCCACCCGCACGACCAACCAGGGCCGGGGACAAACCGCAACCGAAGTACGTGCCCTTAGCGGGAACTGAACCCGGGTCTCTCCGGACCGCAGGCCAACGCTCTAACCACTGAGCCAAACTGGCCAGGGCTGGAAAATTCTTAATGATAGCTTTGCAGGATAGTGTAATCTTGGTTGAAGGTCCTTGCTTTTCATCACTTTAAATATTTCTTGCCATGCCCTCCTGGCCTGCAAAGTTTCTTTTGAGAAAGGTGCTAACAGTCCTATGGTAGCTTCATTGTAGGTAACTAATTGCTTTTCTTTTGCTGCTTTTAAGATTCTCTCTTCGTCTTTAACCTTTTACATGTTGATGATGATGTGTCTTGTTGTGGACCTCTTTGGGTTCATCTTGTTTGGGACTGTCTGTGCTACAGACTTGTATGTCTGTTCCCTTCACCAAGTTAGGGAAGTTTTCTGTCATTATTTTTTCAAATACGTTTTCAATTTCTTGCCCTCTCTTTTCTGGCACTCCCATGATGCAAATGTGGGTACATTTGAAGTTGTCCCACAGGCTCCTTATACTGTCCTCATTTTTTTGGGGGGGGGATTCTTTTTTTCTTAATGCTGTTTAGATTGGGTGTTTTTTGCATCCTTATATTCTAAATCAATGGTTTGCTTCTTGGCTTCACCTACTCTACTATTGATTCCCTGTAAATTATTATTTATTTCAATTAGTGCATCCTTCATTTCTAACTGGTCTTTTATTATGCTCTTGAGGCCTTCAATAAGTTCATTGAGCATCCTTATAAGCAGTGTTTTGAACCCTGCATCTGTTACATCGCTTATCTCCATTTTGTTCAGTTATAATTTTCCTGGAGTTTTGTTCTGTACTTTCATTTGGGACATGTTTCTTTTTCTCCTCATTTTGGCTGCCTCCCTGTGTTTGTTTCTAGGTATTGGCTTCCTTGGGTGGCCTGTTGTTGTAGGTATCCTGTAAGTTCCAGTGGCACAGCCTCCCTGATCACCCAGCTAGGCCCTCAGGGTGCACCCCTCATGTGGACTTTGCACCCTTCTGTTGTACTTGAGTCTTGATTGCTGTTGGCACGTCAGTGGGAGGGTTTTACTCAGGCTGATCAGCTTGCAAGGACTGGCTCTGCCCCACTAATCACCGACCTCTACCTACCTTGGAGGACCAGCTATGCAGGGGCCTGCCACACAGAGTAAGACTTACTTCAGCAGGGCTCTGGTACCCTCTGAGCCCATTCCTTGAGTGTGTCACTTGTGGAGGTTGTTGGGTGGTGGTGCTTCAATGTGGTCTGAAGCTGTCTACTGGGTATGCTGGCTCTAGGGCAAGGTTAGCCACTGCCTGTGTTCTACCCAGAGCCACCAGGCATAAGGTACAAAGCGATCTACTGATGGCTGCTGCTTGTGCTGGTCTTGGAGGTGCCCAGGTGAAGCCAAGCTGTGAACCAAGACTGGCTGTTTCTAGTGCCAGCCCTGGGGCCACTTAGTGAGAGGTATGGGGTTCACTGAGACCAGATGCTCCCGGTTTGAGAGAATTTAGGAAAATCTGAAGCAGGAGCCAAACAGACCAATCCTGTGGTAAAGCCACTGGAAACAGCTTGGGTGGACCTGAAATGTGGGTGGGGCAGGGCCTCAGGGAATCACCAGGGCAAGGCAAACAGTGTGAGCCAGGTTTCTGGAGTTCCAGATATGGCAGCCTTCTGCCTTCCCTGTGGGGGAAGGGCTCACCAAAGAAACAACCACCTCCACCAGCACATCTGTCCAGGAGAAAGCTGCCTCTCCATCTCTCTCATCAATGCCAAACAATTCAGTTCTTCCCTGTACGTCTCTGATGCCTTTCAAGCTCCCTCCCCTCCGTGCTAGAGCTCAGAGCTAGCGGGTCCAAGTAAGTCTGTGTGCAGGCCCTTTAAGAGGAGCAGCCTGGGGCTCCAGCCGCCTCGGTCTCCCTCAGCCTCAGTTCCTACTGGTTTTGACAGCCAGAAATTATGGGAATTTTTCTTTCTGGCACTGGAACCCTGACCTGGGCCCCTGTGTGGGGGGGACCCCTCACTCCTCATGGAGGATCTTCACAGCCAAGGTACCCTCCTGATTTTTTT